GCCCGCGGCTGCCCCGGCCTTGCGGGAGGTGGTTCCGCTGGCTTTGGCCGTTTTCGCTGCGCTGCTTCTACCCGCCTGGGCTGAAGTGACCCCAGCCCGCTTTGTCTAGTGCTAAAAAGTCTTAAATGATGGAGACGGGACGTCCCGCGCTCACCCCTTCTTCGTCCGGCTGGAGCGAGGCGGGCGAGGACAGGCCCGGTGCTGCAGTCACCCTCCGGCTGTGGTGGTGGGGGGCCGCCATCTGCCTTCCGGGGCTGAGGGCATTAGCAGAGTGTCCAGTGCCGCCCCTGTACCCCTCTCTGGAAGAGCGCTCTGCCTTTGCTACCTCACGAAACTGCTCCAGTATTTATAGCTCCTCAGGCTCCAGGTATGGGGTGATTTGGGATGTGTACTTCGAGGAGAATTGTGGAACAGAGCTACTTCTTACAATTATTTCTATAGTGGTTTTCAAAGGTGTGATCTCTGACGTGACCTGCAGAAGCAGGGAGTGCTCTTTGAAAAGGAGAAACTGGGGAAAGGGGAATGGGAGCGTCAGGGAAAAGATGTGAGGTGGGAGAAAGAACCAGTTAGGGCAACATATAATTCAGAGGAGAAACACCGAGGTCCCTGGAGCCGTATCACACGGGAGCACCGAGGCACTATAAATTAAGTGGGAACTCATTGCTAATTCAAAGTGGAAACATCTTCTTTAATGACCTTAATTCTAGACAAAGAAAACAATGATAAACCCAGTGGAAATCCTGTTCTGGGTGATAAACTTCTGCCCTCTGAAATAGATGCCTATTCTGCTGCTCTCTCTCTATTAACTCCTCTGTCCTTCACCCATGATCACATTCTTGGGTCATGTTTTTTGGAGAACTCTAGAATATGAGTTGCCTAGGAAGAAAAAAGCACAAAGTAACCTGGACTTTCCAAGAGACCTTTTCTTTGGGGCTGTGATTAAAGGGACTGGGGAAGTTTGATGGTTTCTGAAGCTGATGCAGATAGAAGCATTTTCTCTGTGACAGAGACTGCATTGCATTGATCTTTGCCGTATTGCTTTGTGTTTTAGTATCCAAACTGGGATCTAGCCGTCATCTGTTCCACTTGTCAATACAGTGAGCTCCTAGGTGATAAGCTATTCTCACATTTTTTAATTATATCAAAGTCCATGAAGATTTCCATGTATTTTCTCTGTGGAGTGAGGTCCTGGCTTAGCCTTCCAGTGTGCCTGCCAAGGTATATTTGCCTGCTGCCCCTGCCTTTCTGGTGGCAGCCCCCATCCTGCTGTCTGACCGGGCTCAGATTGTCCTGTGCCGCGGGTTGCTTTCATTCATGCCCTCCCTCATTTCCTTCTCTTTGCAGAGCCACGGCTGGATCTCTGACAAGCATACCATGTGAGTGCACTCTGTCCTGTAATCCAATAAGACATGTGCACTGTGCATGCTACGGGCTGGGCCCTACATATAGCAAAGGCCTCTGGTTTTGGTCCAGAAAGCTGATTAGGAGAGACACAGTATAAAGAGAACGCAGTGTTGTGAGAGAGCCCTGTCCTGCTTCATTTCAGGTAGGATATTGTCTTTAGTTTGCTGTTGTTAGTTTGGAGGATGTACAGAGCAGCCCTGAGCCACCACAGTTCCCTGTACAGTCACTGCCTGAGTTTGTACAAGCCATGTGAGTCCAGTCAGACATCACAGTGTGCTGAGCTGACAGCACAAGGACTAGAAGGTTACAACATCTTCACATTTGTTTTCCCACCTCCTCACTCCCATCCTCTGCCAGCTTTGCTGTATTGATTGCAGCATCAGTGATTCAAGAAACTGTCGCAAGTGATGGTGAGTTATACAGTCAAGGTGGGAAAGAACTGTCTCCTAAGAAAAGATCTGAGAGAGAAGAAATCAGAAAATGCTATTTAAATTGAAGAGTAGGTTAAGAGACCTGCCAAAAGAGAGAATGGATGTCTCTCCTGCAGACTTGGAGAGACAATGTGGCCTCGGGATAGCTTATCAAATAGAAATTATGGAGGACAGAGTACACAAGGACAGGGGGAAATAATGGGCACTGTCTATACACATTAGAGACAATTTGTAAAGCAGTTTGAGAACTTTGGATAGAAGGCTCTTTACCAGCATAAGTGTTCATCAATGATTGTCCAATAAAGTGGTGATGCTAGGAAGTTGCAGGAGGAGTAAGGAGGTCTCATTTTCTCAGCTCGTGTTTGTTACATGTGGTACTATGCATGTGGAGGAGTTATTCCCAATCAGATCAGGTTGGTTGTAGTACCATTTTAGTTCACAATTTGACATTTTCTAAAGGCTTGAATATCTAGACCCTCATTTTGGATTTATATGGCATTTGTAATCTCCAGATTGCAGGTTAGATTGCATTTGTATTGTATAGAATTAATTGCACTAATAAGCTGCAATAGACATTGTGATTAATACATATGTTTTAGTGTATGCAGCCAGCTCTTAGAGTTTGTATGTATTTGCTATAATTAAAATTACCAGCAAATGTGTTCATTGAAAAAACATATATCAGTTAGTGAATCCTTGCACTCTTTTTAGGTAGGGTATTTCCATTTTATAGATGAGGAAGCTGAGGTACAGGAGGATTAAACAGTTTGTTCATAGTAAAATGCTGTCAGTCTGGAGACACAGAGCAAGGACATAATGTGAGTAGAGGGAATCAGCGTATCAGTGAATACTGTGTTGAAGTACAGGTCTTGGATGTTGCTCATGCATAAGGTAGTCAACTCATTACGTTCTGGAGTAAAATGAGGATGCACTGGTGCTCCATCGTCATGATACCACAACTTGATCTTCGCTGCGTAGCCAAAACCATGATTTTTGCTTCCCCCTGGAAGCATGGAACTGAATTTGCCATCAGGTGTGGTATCAGAGTTGGGGGTGACAGCTACATTTTGTTCCACTGTATGCACATTGCATCCCCGGATAACCCAGCAGTTGAAAATACAAAACAATCTGGGCAAAATTAAAACTGCTTCTTAAATCCTCTGTCTGATATTGCCTGAAGCTTTTTGTTCAGTTTATCTTCACAAGGTCACTGAGACAGAAGAGTGCATTCTCTCAGCATGTTGGCCTGAAGCCTTTCATGCAGATGCTTCCATTTAACATTTGGGGTGTTGTCCTCCTCCCTTCAGTCCCTTCCTTTTTGCTCCCCCATTTTCTACATCTCTCTACTCCCTCCTTTTGAGCTCAGGATCCCTCAGGTCAATAATACAGGAATAGAAGCTGTCCTTTTTTTATCACCTTTACATGTAATCACTAACCATAAGCTTTCTGGGCACCCAAGCTGTCATGGGCCAGAGACTGCTGGTCTGTCTGCCAGAGCTGCCATGCATGCTGCCTGCAGCACTGCCCTCATCTTTGCTGTCATCCTGCCACATGGAATATTTGTCTTGCAAAACCATGTGTTTGAAGCAAATTCTGTTTCTGCTTCTTTCAGTGGCTTGCAGTGTGATCTTGGACTACTCAAGACCAAAATAGTAAATTCACGTTTCTTTGATTATTATTTTTAATAGTCAAGAACAGGAAATTTCAGTTCAGATTAATAGTGACTGTGTGCTCTGAGAGATATCCCAAGTGTTGTAAGGTGAGCTTCCATTAAGATATCAGAAATTGCAAGCCACCTTGGAAGATTGAAGCCAAATGTTAAGATCTGATAAAGGGCATAAGTGTCTATGAGTTTGGCATGTCCTGTCTAGAATGAACACAGAATCAGAAATCTCTTCCTGTGTAGCAAAAAACAGGGTGAGAATAGCAGTGCAAAAAGCAGTGTGCCAGGAGAGAAGCTGGCCCTAAACTTCTGAGCTTCATTTTCTCCAGCTCTGCAATGGGAATAGTTGCAAATGTTTTACTCGTAGATAGTTAAAAATTAGTAAAATGTCCACATGAATGTTGTTAATTATCAAGTATAGTAAAACTGCTTCTATATATGAGATCTGTAGGCAGCACACTTTTCATTTGCAGCAAACTGCTGCAAGAAGCAAACAGCTGTTTCCAAACTAATTAATTAAAATAAGGCAAAACCTAGAATATTAGTTCAGATAGTTCAGGATTCTCTTTTCTCTTTCAGCATTAGGGAACACAGCGAACAGTAGGCCAAGTAAATTACTATGTAATCTGCTGTGTAAAAAGCCCATATTTAATACCTCCTTAATAGGGATGTTAAAATGGATTAATTATTCTTTGTTCTGGTCTCTGAAGATAAAGGATAATTATGTGTAATTGAAAAATTGCTTCTTCACAAAGAATCCAATAGCATCAGCGGGATTTTAACTTCTTGCTACCTACAGGGAGGCATGCAAAATTCCATAATGTTATGGCAAAGACTGGCAGAAACTTAAGAATGGCCGCAGCGAGTCTTACTCACTTTCCAGCCTGTGCTTGAGATCAGTATTTTCAGAGATAACAGATCTCAGAGCACACCAGTGAGACAGGACTCAGTGTGTGTTCTGTGCTGAATGGCACTTAAACAGAAGACACAATTTGTAAGGCTGGTTGTCACTGATGATGCTGCAAGACTTTTCCTCAGTAAATTTCCAGAAACCTGTGAAACAACCACAAGTAAACCAAAGGGAAAGTATTAGAAACAAGCAACAATAAGGAGGACAACAACAAAACCCTTGAGCTTGCCTATCTGGGAAGGAAGCTTTTGAAAAAAACTGAAAATTAACCCATGACTCTTTAGTAACCAGTACATCACCTGTGGGTAAGCACAGACAGTAGAGGTGTCTGACAAAGAGTGGAGGCTATGTTGAGATATTTGAATTAAGGTGAAAAAGAAAATTTAATAAATTTTACAAGGGTAGAACACTTTCAATTATATAAGATTAGTAGATTGGTTAGCCTGAGACCTGAAATTCCTAACTGCCGCACTGATTTCTGTTGTTAAATTAAAAATCCTCAAAATATTTAGGTGCATAATTTCCTTTGATTTCAGTGGGAGTTGGGCACCTTTATATGCATGAAAGTCTGGCCCTCAAGCTCTGTAGGCCTCAGTTTCATATTGGCAAAATTAGGATAACATTTTTCTACTTCAAGGAGTGCTACAAATCAATTACTGAGTTATTATGAACTTAAATAATATAATAATTGAGATAATAGAAGCTCTTAACAGCATAAACATAGCCTACTCTGAGCCACCTTCTTCACATCTGAGTTGTTGTAGAGGCTACTCTGAAACACAAATTATGTGTCTGGTGTTGCTTTTTCTTTCCCCTGAATTCCCATGTGCAGA